ATTATTGAAAGTTATAGTCTAATTCCCCTCTCATTATCTTTTATTATTTCAGTCTCTCCCAACTCTATATCATTAGGATGAATCAAAGTGAAAACCCACTTACCGATTTACCGTAATAATATGTTATAAATTAATTAAGAATATATCAGAAAGAATAAATAATATAATTTATAATAAGAAAGATATACAAGATAATAAATTATTATATGAATTTTTTTCTATATATTTATTTTTTTAATTAAGTTTATGATACTATAAAATTAATTAATATTAAATATCAAAAAATATAAAATTATAGAATTGATTAATAAATTATAATTATTTAATAACTTATTTATTTATTAAATTTTTACTTAAATAGTTATTTATTATAGCTAAATACTAGAGTAATTTATTAAAATTATTATTATTAAATTAATAATTAATAAAATATTGTAATTAGAAAACTTTTATTTAAATAACTTTAAAATTATATAAGTTACTATATTTATTTATATATCAAATTTAAAGATATAAGTTACTTATAAAAATAATAAAAATAAAAATATCTTATTTATTTTTACTTTCATAAATTTCATATTCAAAATATTATTAGATTCTTTACAAGAGAATTATAATATTATAGTAAATCTGATAAGTAGATTTCATTTGAATTTATCTTAATAATATTAAGTTAGAAAAGACTAAATTAAACAATAAATAAAGAGAGAAAAATTAGATTATAACTTTAATACTAATTAAAAATTCTAAGATCTGTGTCAATATCTATGAATATTATCTTTAAAAAGATAAAATAAAAAAAAATAATTTAAATCAAGAAAATTATAATAATTAATATATAAAACTATTATTAATTAAATATAATTAAAGATTTAAAGTGATTAATAAATAAAACTACTATTAATTAATAAAGATTATAATTAAAGAAAAATATAAAACTAGAATAAATAATAAAATAACTAACTAAAAAGAATATAGCTTATTTATAGTAAAGATTATTAGAATAGCAAATCCTTTTATATATTTTTTAAATATATAGATTATTATAATATTATTAATTAATATTATTAAAATATATATACTATTATATTTTAGAATTGAAATATTTTAATTACAAAAATTTATAATCTGATTATTTTACTAAAAACTAAATATTAATAATATTAATAATATTAAGATTTTTTAAAGAATGAAATATAATCAAAGAGATCTATAACTATATTAATTAATTACTCTATAAAATATATCAAAATTTTTATATATGTAAAATATAAATCTGAATATAATACTAGTAATCAAAAATATAAATATCTAATTTAGGAGATAAAATATAATATTTAGGATATAAATATAAATATAAAGGATAAATATAATAAATAAAATAAATATATAATTAAATAAAAAATAAGAATAATTATATAATAAATTATAAAATTATAAAAAATAGAATTTTATATAATTAAAAAAAGATTATGAAATTAGAAAATTTTATATTACTATAGTAATAATAATATTATTAATCTTGTATAAAAAAAATATTTGTAATACTGTTATAATTATTTTATTAAAATCAGCAATTCCAGAAATCATGAAGGGAATCATCCTAACTGCAACACCACATACTTTCTGATCTCCTATTATTCAGCATTATCCAGCATCACATTTGTAATCTCTATTTTTTATTTTTTTATTTACTGATACATATTGTCAATACAGTAGATCATAATGCATTATCTATTGATATTATATATCATGACAATCTTTCAGCATATTTCAGCATAATTATTTAGCACAATCATTCACATTCTTCAATATAATAGATTATATCACTTCTTCTTTTAGCTATCTTTTACTATTGCTCAGTCTATTAATATAATAAAGAAATTATATAGAGTTAGAACAGTATCACTTCTAATATAGCAAAAGATAATGTATAAAATAAATATTTCTCAGATCTTTAAGAAAGAACAGAGAAGAAGAAAAAAAATAAAAATAAAATAAAAACTGTATATATTATCTTTTCTCCAAGAGAAACACTTATAAAAATTATTTTATTAGAATCATAATTCTAATGTGTTAATTAGATTCTTTCTATCAGAAAAGATGACATGTTAGTTAGGTTCTTTTCATCTGAAAAGATGACATATAGGTTAGGTTCTTTCTACTAAAAAAGATAACGTGTTTGTTAGATTCTTTTCACCTGAAAAGATGATAAATTAGTTAGATTCTTTAATCCAGAAAAGGTGAAATGTATCATTAATTGAATGATTTGATTGATCTGAGTTTAAGACTTTTAGCTAGAAAAAGTACAGGAATAAAAAGAATAAATTAGTTAATAATTAATATATAAATTCTTCTTTATCCTACCTCATAATTACCTTTGAAGTAACCATAATAAACAATATCTGAAGATATTGGCACAGAATTTAAATTAACTAGTAATATTAGTCTAATCACTCTCTCTTACCTATAGTCACAGTACATAAATTTTCCTAAATCCATGAAACTTCAATCCACCTGTGACATTTGTGATATCCCTTCTATAGATACAATTATACCAAACTAATACTCTTTCTAATGGATTACCATTTAAAAATTGAATTGGAATTAGAAAACTGTGATGACAATTATAAATAAATTATCTTATAATTGAAAAAGAACTTGAAGTTAATGAAATAAATGAAGAACCCAAAATAAATAAAATAGCAAATAATATAGATAACTTGATTCAAGCTCTTATCAACCTTACTGAAGCCATAAATATCAGATTAGTCCAATAACTAGAAAAGATCTTGATATCAATTAGGAAATTCCAAGATGAAAACCAAGATCCAGTCAAGTAGATCAGAGATTTTGAAATCACTGCTCATGCTTATGGAATCACAGATAAAAGAAAAATCCAAATTATACAAGATTATCTTGAAGGAACCATTACCACTTGGTTTGATCAGAGATATGCTGATGTCAACTTTCAACTGAATGTTTAGACAAATTAACAGCATAATAAATATGACTTTAAAGATCAATTCATCCTAAAGTTTTGAACAAATCAAAAAGTAGAATAATAATAGGATGAACTCAAAATATTAAAACAAGAAGGAACTATAGAAGAATATACTAACTGTTTTATCCAGTTACTCAAAAAAGTCAATCCTGACAGATATTATCCAGCAGATTATTATATGTGAACTTACAAAAGAGGACTTAAACCTGAAATCAGAAAGTAAGTTAATATTAACTCGAATAGTATATAGAATAATATTATCAAGATGATCAAGATTATCAAAGAAGTCAGTATTAAAGAAATAATACAAACTTATCATCAACTTCAAGCTGTACCATTTGTTAATATTAATGTATTAAATCAAACCCTTTGAAGCTTAATTGATAGGTTGGAATAAGTCAAAATCACCAAGAAAATAACTTATCAACCCAGAACATATGACAGGAACAGGAATTAATAAAGTACTAGAAATCTACTGATCTGTTATCAATGTGATCAGACTGGATATATATAATAATTTTGCCAGAATACTTATAATATAAATAATATTTCTCTAAATAATCGACAAAGTCAACAGTTGACTTATAATTTAAACTTGGTAACTAATAGTAATAACTCTTTTAGACAAAATAATATTGTCATAACACAAGTACCTGAAGCAAATAATACCTGACTAACTAATACTGACATTCTTCTTTTACAGATCCAGATGCTTACTAATGTTATCCAGACATCCACCAATACTAAAAATAACACTTACAGTATATTGAACTCAATACTCTTGACAATACATGAATACTTGGTCAGAAAATATAAACAAACTAAGATAGAACTCCCAGAAGATGATATAAGTAAAGAGATTGAGCAAGCTGAGAAAATATCTATAGTATCTGAGCAAGCTGAGAACAAGCCAAAAGATAAAAAGAAAAAGAGAAAGATCAAAGTGAAATTACTAGTACTTGCCTCCTGAACTGTTTCTTATGATATCTTAGATAATCTTGTTATCACAAAGATCAATATCATTATTGCGTAATTAATTAAAACTTTGCCAAAATAATATATTAAGATATCTAAAAAATGAGATGACCTATCAAAAAGAAGATAACACAGAAGATAATTGGAATAACTAACCAGGCAAGAATCAAAACTATCTTAGCTTAGTACGAAGCCAAAGTCAGAAATATATCTATTGATCTTATTATCAATACAAGAACCTCAGAATATGTGATTAGTCATGAATTTCTAAAAAAATAAAACATAAAAATACAAAGAAAATCAAACATAATGATGACAGATATAAATGACCATACCAAGTAGCTATTAGGAGCAATCGACAAGTTTTCAATTATGATTAATGAAATCATAATTCTGACAGAGATCAATATCATGGAAATCAAAATCTTTAACATAGTAATCAATATGGACTTATTAAATAAAGTAAACATCAATATCAACATCAAAAAGAGTGCTATAATGCTAAAATGGAATAGGCAAAAAGAAAAGATTAATATTCAGTATATTTATGATCAAAGGAATCCTATAAATCTCAAATCTAATACAGATAACTCTGAACTTTCCAATAACAAATCAACTAATAGTAATAAAGAATTTAAAGAACAATAACTAGAGATTCAGAACTTTCTTTATTGGACTATCAAAAACTTTTGGATACAGATACAAATAGCTATCTAAATGTTAGATGAAATTAACTTTGGAAGAATATTCTAATATATTGCCAGAAGAATATCAAAGATTGATAATATCTATATTTATAAGGAAGGAATTCAAATTAATAATAAAACAATCAATTAGGAGAAATATAGCTACTTGAAAAGAAAATTTGACTAAATCAAATACTATAACTTAAAATGGAAGTTTGACTAGAAGGGTCCAGCTAAATATTGGTATTGATGTACACTTTCAAACTCAATTCATAAATATCAAATATACTACCAGAAATTGATCATATAGATTAATGTAAAGCTTTAAGTTCCTGATAATCTTTCTATTCTTTTAGACAAGAACTCTTGTAAGGATTGGTGGATCAAGATAGAAAACTAATGACTCTTCAATAAAATTCTAATTATTAAAACCAAGTTTCTAATTAAAAAATTGGCTTTTATCTGTCTTTAGCTGGATAAATAAGTAAAATACTATCATAAATATCAATATTATATAGATAATTTAAGGATGATAATAGTAATTGAGCAAGATGAATCCAAGAACAAATACTGTGAAAACTGCATAAATATAGAAAAACTAAACTTACCCATATACTTCCAGTATGGTACTCATACCTTTACATCCAAAATATATGATATTGGAAGCTATTACTTGACCAAATATTTTTGCTCCTATTATGAATAATATGTTTATATGTTCAATCATAAAGGCTGAAGAAAAAATAATAAAATAATTTAGAAGTTATGTGAAGGCAGAATACTTACTTTGATATATTAGAAATGCAATAAAATTGAAAAGGTCATCCTGTCTCATTATGTCAATGAAGATGACTTTGAAGATGAACTAGAATATATTAGTTACAAAGGATCTGAAGAAGCTTCAGCAGCTGAAATCTTTATGTCAATATAATAATAACTAACTCCAGAATGATGATCACAATTAGCTCAGCTAGAATTCATCAATATTTATCTCTGTATCAAATATCTAATTTCTTGTGACTCTGAGAAATATAATGATTATAATGCGTAGTCCATACCAATTCTTGAAGCAAACCAGAATACTGACAAAGAAAAGACCAAAATCAAGTCAAAGAATAAGAAGACTGAAATTAAAATAGAAGTCAAGATGAGAGAAAAAGTTAATTCAAGACAGGGATATTCTAGTAAAACAAATAACAAGATGAGAAATAATAACTATAAGATAATAAATAATGACTACCATACATAAAAAATGAATCCTCACAAGAATGATGAAGGATATATTGAAAAAGGAAATGATCAATATACTATATCAAAAGAAGTCAATTACCTAATTAAAGTTTATACTAATGATAATAAAGGAAGGATTCCAGAATGCACTTATAAAATCAATGTAGGATTTGATCTCTACTACCCTGAAATGGAAACTATTACTATTAAATCAAGTCAAACTATTCTGATTGATCTCTTTATCATGTTTGAAATTCCTGTAGGAATTATCTACCAATTAATATTGTGATTATCCTTAGTAAAAAAAGGTATAGAAGTGAAAGAAGGAATAATTGATGCTGGATATACTGGGAATATAGGTGTACTTATCTATAACAATTTGACTTTTTCATATCAAATTCAGCCTAATAAATAGATAGCCCAAGCAGTATTTCTGAAATTGACAAATATTGATAGTATTCAAGTAGTTTCAATATGATAAAAATTAGATAAATCTAGTAGAGGGGCTGCTAGCTTCAGATCTATGAGACAAGTTGAACTAGAGACATATTTCCTGAAGACAGAAGACTGTAATAAAGTAATTGAACAAAGGAAGTTAGACTAATAGCAAATGAAGCAGTTTTAGAATTTATTAGATGTGTATAAGGATCTGTTTATTACTAATATAACTGAATTGGAAAGGATTAATTTAGTCTAATATATGATTAATATGGCCAATGCATACTCTATTTGATAAAGGGTATATAGGGCAACTTTATCAGAGCAGGAATTTATCCATAATGAGATATAGCAAATATTGAAAGTGAGAATTATTTGATGGTCAAGTAGTTCATAGGCTTCTCCTATGATAGTGATTAGTAAAAAGAATAGAAAAAAATATTTTTGTGTAGACTATCAGAGAATTAATACTATAATAAAGAAGAATATGTATCTCTTACCATGAATCAATAAAATATTAGAAACTTGGAGAATGCAAAATGATTCTCCTTATTTGACCTTACTAGTGGATATTAGCAAATTGGGATGAAAGTCTGAAGTATAATGAAGACTGTCTTCATTTTATGAGAAGATCTTTATGAGTTTAATGTAATGCCATTTGGTCTCTGTAATATTTCTGCTACTTTTTAACAGATGATAGATGTAATGTTGGGAGATTATAATTAGAACTTCATAATGATCTATATTAATAATATCAATATTTACTCCAAGAATTTTGAAGAACACCTATAGCATCTACAAAAAGTTTTTCAGTGAATTAGGGAAGCAGGACTAAAATTAAATGCAGAAAAATATAATCTTATAAGAAAAGATCTATCATTCTTGAGCTATATAGTAACTGATCAAGATATTATGATTGATTTATCTACTGTTAGAAAGATCCAAGAATTCCCATGACTACATACAGTTCACTCTCTTTATTCATTTCTTGAATTAGTAGATTACTATCAAAAATTTGTTAAAAACTTTTTACAGATTACTACGCTATTATTTCACCTATTAAAAAATAATATTAATTTTAGCTAAAAAAGGGAACAAGAAAGAGTATTTGAAGAACTCAAAAAATAACTAATCTTAATACCAATCTTAATATATTCAGATTTCTCTTGGAAGTTTTACTTATATACAGATGCTTCAGATACAGGCTTAGATATGATATTATCATAGAAGGATGATCAGAATCAAGAATATATAATTACCTATACTAGTGTTTCACTTAAGATGAGAAAAAAATGCTACAATATAACAGAAAAGGAAGTATTAGCCATCATCTGGAGAGTAAAACAATTCTGACATTATCTTTTTGGAACTCTTTTTAAAATCATTACTAATTACAGTATGCTCTGTTAGCTATTTACCAAGCAGATTAATTCTGGTCTATGAGTGTCCTATTGGATAATAATGATATTGGAATATACATTCACTATTTCTTATCATCCTGAAAAACTCAATCAAAATACTGATACACTCTTTTGCATTAATCAAAATTAGTAGTAAAACAAGAATAAATCCAAGCAGTCAAATAAAATAATTAGATAGTAACAAGAAAATAAAATTTAAATAATAAAAATAAATCAAATCAACTGAATTATTCATAAAAACAAACAATGGAGATAAATACTTATAATAACTTATTATATTACCTGAAAAATAGAAGTTATCCCATAGGATACATAGAGAAATAATAATAATGAATCAAGAATCAAGCAAAATACTATATAATATGAGAAGGATTATTATATAAAATTAATAAAAGAAAAAAACCAAGCAGCCCTCTACGAGTCTTAAAGAATATGGAAATGAAAGCTATTATAACTTACATGCATAGAGACTTACTTTCAGAATACTTTGCATATGAAGAAACTTATCAATATATTGCTACTCGTTATTGGTAGACTGGTATAGAAAGTAATATTTGTGACTTCATAAAGTTATGTTAAACCTGTCAACAAACCAGTAGATAAAAAACTAAATAATCTCTTTTACCTATTAAAATTAGAATGCTATTCGACCAAATCATAATCAATCTGATTGAATCTTGTAAGCCAATAGCAAATAGAAATTAGTATATCATTGTGGCTATTGATTATCTTATAAAATGACCAGAAGCTTGAGCAATATCTGACAAGAAAGTTAGTAACATTATGATATTCATTTTTAAAGATATAATTTGCTAACATGATTATCCCAAAGAAATCCAGTCAGACAACAGATTCAAATTCATCATCTTTATCATAAAATTACTTATTAAACAGTTTAACATACAGCACAAGTTCTCCTCTCT